ATTTTTTTTCCTCAAGCCAAAAGGAGACGGGGGAGGAGGAACAAGGAACAATGCTGTCACAGCTGTGATTACAGTGGAGAAAAAACATTCCCAAACTGGATTTAAACTAATGAAGCTGGGCATTACCCTCTCCAAGTACGTGCCCATCTTACGTTTCACAGCTTGTGCTCAGAAATACTGCAGTAAAATGATAGGCAATTCCAGAGCTGGCTCGTTTAAAGCTACTTCAGATACGCCTTCGCTCTGGTCACCATTATAAGGACTGCAGTGGACACATAACCAGAGGTAGATAGAATAGATTTGTTTTCTAAGCAAAATAAACTACTCTATCATTTTAGACCCATCTCTTGGATCAAGATAACAACTATTACTCCTGCATTTCACTGCTGCAGAGCTGATTTGGATGCAGTGGATAATGAAAGAGAACTACTACCATGAAACAACATAATCAAAATCATGCCCTTTTTCAGGTGGAAGCAAATAAAAACCCCATCACATTGGGCTTTACATTTATATCATTTTATATGATTTAAAGTCAAGGTGGTAGACGAACGATGATTGAAAGTTATTTGGTTTTAATGCGACCAGATTCAGACCTACCCAAACAATGAAATTAAGTTATTTTATGTACAAGTGTCTAGATGGCTTTAATGGGAGTTTTTATTAACTATAAAATTACACAATAAAATATGTATTTGTTCCTTACAACATCTCACACTTGGTTTTTTTTAGAATAATCTGATTTCTATCCTATGGTGGTGCTAAACAGAAAAAAAATGCATTTCACTTCAGTTCTGAACATGTCTATATTTTCCAAGAGCAATTCTTAGAAAATTGCAAGAGGTTATGTCTCAGGTCATATGGACCTACAACAGTGGATTTCTTTATGGTATGAAATAGACATCTCAGAATTGCAAGTAATAAATATGATTTTGATAAGCACTTCTACACAGGAAAATAAGAAATTCCTAAAAAGTTTTCTGTGAAGCACCTTCCTCTTCAAGTCCTGTATTGCTCTACACTTATAAATAATAAAAAAGGAGACTGATAACAGTAGCTTTATGTAAGCAAGCTTAGAAATCACGCTCAGATAAGTGCTTTTGACCTAAATCTTGTAGCGCCTCGATCTGACATATAACCCCACAACTGTGAAATTCTGTATGAGATTTAGCAGTTTGAAGCTGCCAAATGACCCAGCCATAAAGCAGCCAGAGATAAGGATTTAAGGTACGATATGATACAATTAGACATTCACCTCCTATTTATTTCAGTCCATTTCAGTATTTAACCTACTTAAAAGTTGCAAGCGTTTTATTAAAATGTAAATGCTAGTGTGCTGTATATTTATAGGCGGCTAACGACAACACGGAAAGACTCCCATAAATTAGATCCCTATGAATGAAAAGGGTAAACAGGAGATGCTTCTGAAAAACTCTTCTAGACGTGCAGAGATAAAGGATGGTTCTACCACACAAAATAATCAGATACAAAAATAGCTGTTCAGAAACAGCACACCTAAGGAGTACTTTAATCAAACATTTAGGTTACCTGCCAAAAGGACCATGATCTCTTCAAAATGCAATGCGGATTAAAGTGTTATCTAACACAAGCAGAAAACTAACCTTGGAGTGGAAGTTCGAAATGTGTTCATCATAATTTTCGTGTCTTTGGATAGAGAAACCAGCTTTCTCAGCTAGATTGCAAAACTGGTTTAAAGTATTCCCTCGGAGTGGAGCAAATACCATTGCTTTTCCCTGCAACATTTAAAAGACAATTTATACATTTTTAAAACCAAAAGGGAACCAGATATAACCTACACCTGAATAAGGTTTTAATATACACAAGCCGGAAAAGTCAATTATTCTCTTGGTAAAATACTAAAATAAGGTAATAAAAAAAAAAATGTTCAAAATACGCAAGATTTCTGTGACTAAACAAATGCAATAAAGAAAGCAATAAAGAAATATTTTCTTTAGAAAACTGCCAACTGCCATACATCTGCTCCTTTTCATATAATAACAGTGGCTATGAATTACCAAAATAAAACACAGAAAAAGCACACAAAACATACACTCAATGTGAAATCCTTTTGTTAGCTCATGACCATGCAAAGTCTGTAAATAATGATTTTCATTTTTCACTCTCACACACAGAAGAGTACCTCCCATTTGCTGTCAGTGGAATTACAACAGTGTAAAACAAGGGAAAGTGGGAGGCAAATCAGACCTGATCATTAGGTTTTTAAAGCTATTTTAAACTACCTGAGCAGAGCAACCAAATCTGACCTTAAATTGGTAAATTGTATTTAAAGCAGGACTTAATGTTCTTGCACAGTAATTCTGGATCTTTCAAGACAATCAGGCCATTTATGATGCCCAGGCAATACATCATGGGCCATTAGCTAAATTTTTGTTCATCCTTCTGTATTTAAGAAAACAAAAATGACTGTAGCTTGACCTGATAGATTTTAGACTCTGTGGAAAGTACTAGCCCAGAACCTAACCTACTTGATACAGCATCTCTTGAAATCTTATTTGCAAAATTAATTCTAATTGGCCGAATAGCGTGTTCTGTCACATGGAATGAAAACCGGTTGAAAAGCTGTAAACAAAGGTTAATATCAGCCAACAGCATATCACACCGGGGGGAGCCACAAAGTTTACTGTGAGTTCTTGTATTTAACTTTTATATTAATGAGAGCTAAGATTAATTTGTGAGGTGTTGTAATCAACCGAAGAGACAAAAACCTATTTTTTAGGGATCTGACGAAGTTATCAAATGATTAGATGCTGTAGAAGAATATTTGGCTTGAGAAAATGCAGTCTTGTATACCACAGGAAAAAGTGATCAGAAGAGAGAATTTCAGCGGGAATTCTGGAAAGTTACAGTGCTGACACAGATACTTGGTGAGGAGGATAGGGAACAAACTACGCTGAGACCGTGCGCAGTGCGGCAGCAATAAAAACTCTATGTCAGTATCTATGGCAGTAATGTGTACTTAAAAGACCCTAATCATTAATACCACAGCACTGTATTTATTCTTACAATGCCTCTGTAAGACAGGGAAATACTGTTGTCCTCATCCCTCTCACGGGAAAGTGCAAAGGAGACCTAGGGCAATATCCAAAGCAACTCACTTCTGTTCATTTGTGTAGCTATACTTTTAATTGTGTGGCTAAAAGTGAGGTGCAAAGGGGTGTAACTCCCACCAGAGGCACTGGAATTGCTTATATAAATGTTAAGTCTGAATCCAGGCTCAGCTCAGGATGAAAAACATTAAATACAGGAAATTCACAATCAGTTCCCTCACATCCTTGGCATGCTTTAATGTCATCAGACAGAAGTGGGCAGCAAAGGGAGCCTTCAGCTGAGGATCCTCCTCCTCCTCCTCCTGCCATCTCATGCTCCCTAGAATGTTGTTCTGCAGAGACCCTTCCTGGAATAAGAGGGCTGAGACTCTCGAGTCCCTCATCTTCATGGGCAGCTTCACAGAGAGGTCACTGTAACGGGAAACATGTCCTTCACCCAGGGCTTACTGACCACACCATTCACCCAGGGACTTCAGTAATGGCTAAACCTCGTCAACGGAGACTGCAGGAGGCTGCACGCCCTACCTAGGCCACTGACCCAGCAGCTCCGATGAGGAAGCAATGCTCATGCAACAGCAGCCTCCCCTTACAGATTTCCACTGGGAGTCAGCAGCCCATGCAGTCATTCCTTCTCATACTCTGTAGACCACTTCAAATTCAATTTGAAAGAGAAATACAGGAAAATAGAATGTTACATGGTTTGAAATAACTCTTAAAAGCAGCCTGGAATTCTTGAAATAACTTCAAAAAAGGGGAATGGCCTTTTATGGAAACCACTACACAGTCACTTTTGGCCAGCGCCCCAGTTGGTGTAAAACCCCATTCACCTATTGAATTCAGCGTGTATCTAAAACACCTGAGGATCTTGTCCTTGCTGATAAAAAACAAGAAATCATGATTAAGGTTAATATTAAAATAATCTCCTCAAAACTGGCAGGTACTGTGGAGTTACTGTAAACAATTCTGGTCTATCACAATCTGGGTTTAAAGCACTTTCTTGTCAACTGCCTGATCTCTGTGATTCTGCTACCTGCTGTGGAGTTGCATTTACATTTCTAATTTTAAAATGTTTTTCATTTCTTGGTTGCTGTACAATAAAAAAATTAGACCAGTTGCCTGGCTCTACACTTGATGTAGTTAGTTATTTCTAATTCAAAAGTCCCTCCCAGTTTAGGATGATGTTTAAAGTTCAAAAAGGCCTTTCGTCAGTCGGGAAAATACTTCCAGTAAACTCGTGAACAAAACACAGAGGAAAACGTCAGTTACAATAGTTTGAAGTGTCACTAAAATGCTGCAGTAAGATAATGGGGCAGATGATCACATTGTGGCCATGACTGACTAAGTTTACTCATGAATCATTATTAAATGCAGTCTTATTTGCTGGTACTAATCATGGCTCAATAGTATCCCACTCACTAACTTCATTGCGATTTTGAATGGATAGGCCACAGAAGAAACAAAGCCTTCATAAAAAGCATTCTTAATTAGGGAAGTACACAAACAAGCAACTATTTATTCTGAGATTGAAATTAAAAGTACATTTTAATGATAGGAAAAAATAAAACTAAATGTTGGCAAATCAAGTAGCTTGCTTATAAGAGGAATAAAATACAGCCATTCAAGACAAATTTGTTCGATGTAAAATTTCAGTGCCTAATTCTCGGAATTGGTTCACAATTGACTTTTGCCTTTGTAACAAATTCAGATAGAAATTTCAGCTCCCAGTAACTCTGTGAGCTGCTCATTTCTGCCTGCATGAATTTCTGGTCCTCTCTTCCTGTGCAGATACAACTGTTTATGGGGCCATACTATGAATCAGATGACTGAAATGATCAAGAGTCCTGTTTCCAGGAAAGCAAAAAGTTGTCCAGAACACATCATTCTGTGCCATAAGGATTCTAATAGCCACAAATAACATCCTTAATCAAAAATGAAGTACTGCAGATAAATTTATCTCTTGTTAAACTAATGGTAAGAACAGATTAACTGTTCTGAATTTCTCCTTCAAGACAACTTTGTGAGGATACCCGTTATTTTCTGTTTACTCCACTTTTCCTTTCAGTTTTTTTTTTGGGCTATTATTTTCCCTGAACTCTTCTATCGTAGTTGTAGCCTAGCTACAATTGAAAGATGTCTTCAATCTAGATGTGACTTCAATTTCAGATCATTCCTTTATCAATTTGGCAAAGTATTTCCATTAAGGAAATTTAAATTCTAAATTTGAGACAAAATAATTAACGTAGAAGAGTGAACTTAATCAAAGTACTTTATGACTTAGTTTGGGCATAAGCTAATGCCCATAAACTATTCTCAATTATTGCAATTGGCAAATTAATTCACTATTAATTTATTTTTCCTTTAAAGGCCAAAGTATATTGCCATTTAGTAAAGTTTCCTCTGATGTTATCCTTAGATTTATACAGGTTAACAAGAACAGTAAAAATAATAACTATTTTGTACTTGTGATTGCATCTTTTCTTGGGATTTCAAATGAGTATATGCTTTTATTCGGGTCTTTCAAACCGTATGCTTGAAGGCATCTCTGTTCAACATGTGCTTTTTGGACAGGAGAGCTCATTTAAGGTGTCTGTACTCCCAGCTTCCCACCCTAAATAACAGTTCGATGTTCTCTTAGTTATGAATCACAATAATTTGCAAGGTCATGCCATAACTGGATATCCATCCATACAACCATCCATGAAGTGGATTAGGCAAATGACTTCAGTTAAAAAATACAGTTTGGATAGCGGTACAAAATTCTGCCACAGAAATTCCTGCAAGGAGCAAGAATTTCTTACCCTAGCTTTGCTGATAAGAAGTAGAAATCGTGGCCTAAAACGCATAGCAAATAAGTAGAGGCTATGCTATTAATCACAACGTGCAGAAGCAAGCCAGACTAGGAAGACAGGCAACGAAAAGCCATCTCCCTTTACTCCATCTACATTCACAAAGGACTATAGTTCAAAGGCTGGTTGCGGTTTAAAGTTAGGTTAACAATTCCTAAATTGACTATAGATGGGAACATGAGCTATGAACACTACTTAAAACTCAGGCTGCCTTATTGTCATCGGTTTTTAAATCAAATTCTCTGGTTGGGCTGATCAGCCCAGGTAAAAAACGCGTGTGTGCCTGCATATACAAATGCACGTGTGTACTCGTGTTTTTGGCAATATAGATCACCTGACCCTGATTAGCTGTGAACAGGAGACAAAGCAACTAACAGCTATTCTTCCACCCCAGCTAGAGGCTCTAGCCAGGTCATGGTTACCAGGGCACCTCTCATACACTTCTCTTCCTGACACTCATACTGTTCTCCCTCAGTGTCCTTTTGTGGAACTAGTAGTGGCCTGTACGGCTACTTGAAGAACCAGGTGTGGACATCGACCTGGGCCAAAAACCCCCTCCTTTTTGCATTTTTCTAAACTGGAGTTAGCTAAGTGTTCCAGATCACCTCTGGTCCCAAAAATTGTTGCACCCTGACAACTGATGGTACATCATGAAAGTCAGAATGCATCATCCTCAGCAGGAGCTGCTTAACCTCCCCTTGCTGCCACTAACAGAAATATCTGGATAACCTTTTCCTCAGAGCAGCTACATTTCTCATGTCTTCCTGGCAGCCTTGCCCCACAGCTCATTAAAATAATTCAGTCTTAAGTAACTTGCCTTAAGTCACTCAGGAAAGTCTATGATAGAACCAAGAATAGAAACCTGATCACTCTTAGCAAAGAATGGGATTACTTACATGACTAAAATGACTCAGTTTCTTAAGCCTTTGCACGTTTGGGTCTTCCGCTCCTTTTACAGAGAAAATCTCTTGTACAAAAAGTGCAATGCAGTTTTTAAATACAGTTTGGAGAATGCATTGCTAACACGAAATACTTTTGTTTTGAAATGGAAAGTTTACCTTACTGGAAGATTTGCGTGTTAATCATGAAAGGTAAAATCCCTACTTAGCAATTAACTTCACAGGTTTTCTCATATTCTCATTTTGATATCTTCTTTTTAAATTTTTTTTTTTTGAGATTCAAGCTTATTTGTTGGGTATAAGTATATGCATGTAACAGCTTTTTTTTTTTTTTTTTGCCTGTAGGTGTCTCTGATTTAACATCATCAGTGACACTCATGTAGCATTTTATGAACAGCTTAATTTCATTACGTTCTAAGGTATAAAACATGTAAACACAGGGCTTACTTAATGGAAAAAAAAAGTTTTGGTTGCAATAGACGCACAAGAGTTTTTTTCATTTTATATAAACAGAAAAGAGAAAAAATATTCTTTCATAATAAATAAATACACAATGACAAAGGTTACAATTGAAGGGATTACAAATGACAGAAGCCAACATAAAAACTTTCAATATCGTACTTTTACTTTAATATGAAGACATTATTATCAAAGGAAAATACTTGAGAAACGCTTTGATAAAAATAATCTCACGCTATCTTTGAAGCGGTTTCATTTATTTTACTACCCACTGTGTTCCTTATCAGAAGGCCAAGTATAAGAAGTTTCCTAGTTTATGATTAGGAAAGAATCTGATAGATTAGAAGACTCAATTGAAGTTGGACATAATAAGTATTAAAGTATTACATGACATTAATCCTGCCATTCCATTACTCTCTCAATCATTGTGCACAGACTAATTATTCTGAAGCCAGTGTTCAGGAGAAAATAGAAACATACTTACACTGGGTTGGAGTAATCTCTTTATTGCATCAACAAGGCTAGCTCTGTACCGGTCCAGAAACAGGCTGACATTGAGAAGAGAACAGAATCCAGATTAAAATGGGTTTTCAATTCTAATGATACTAATGCAGATAAGTACAAGGCTAATTACATATGTTTACACAATGCTGTAAAAGAGAAACTGTGGTTTGCATTTCCGTCCAGTTTGGGTAGGTTTAAATATTAAAAAAATACATAAACCCAAATATAATCTAAACCAAAGCTCAAATATCAGCATGAAACAAATCTTTATATAGCTGAAATTCACAGATCACATATGCTAGCTATTAAAACACTACCTATCAGAAATCAGGATCAAAATACAAAGTTAACATTTCACATGTTTTTCTATACAATGGGGGGGAGGTTTTTTAAGTGTTTTTTATTGTATTTCAGGTGTTACTATTAAGGCTATTTTCTTTCCTTTTACCTTCACAGTTGTGGCATTAAATCACTATTATCTATTACGCATATTTGTTCTATTTATGTATCTATCTCTATCTAACCTATAAAGATTTACAAGCCCCCACCTTCTCTCTCCCTCAAACCCTATTCAAACACAATGACCCACATCGTGCAGAGTTGTCCTCTCTCAAGAGTTAAATCCGTCATCCCCAGCACGGGTCCCGCAAGGATAGCGGCAGACTCAATTTTCCCACGCAATGTTGCCAACATGCTCAGACCTATTTTGGCATGATTACCTCATGATTTGAGGGGATAATTCATTCTTCATGCCCCTCTGTACCTTAACGTATATACTAATAGTGGCAACCAGGGTGCCAATCACTCTTGACTAGATATTTGTGGACATGCAGTTACTGTGGATGAGAGTGCATTTACAGTGGTTAGTGAACAACCATCGGATAGCAACTGATGCCTTTCAGTCCTTACTACTATGGGCTGCATTTATATTGGTGATTCAGATAAGAAACTGTATCAAGCAGGCCACAAATTATGTGATTTTTTTTCTTCATTATTTTTCGTGCTTTCTCTATAGTAAAACTGCTTCCCAGCCTGTGTCAAGTATGAGTTCCACACTACATGGCATTTTGTCCATTCTTAATGATTTTTTTTCTATACTCCCCTTTCCTTTATCTCTTTCTGAAGAGTCGCAAGTAATTTTTTTTCCAGGTTTAAAATTTCTAAAAGAATATAAAGAATATATGAAGAAACTTGGGAGAAAAAAGTGGTCTGCCAACCACATGGCAGTCATCAAGAACAGAATATGTGTGGACATTTAGGTAAGGACACTCCACAGCTACCAAGGAGAATACAATATTACATACCATAAGGTCAAGCAGCTGTGTAAGAGCTGTGAATTTTTGCTACGGAGGAGAAAAAAAAAAAAGCTTCTCAGAAAACTTGTCAGTGACCAAATTTCATCAGTAAAAACTGGCAGAACCTCACATTGTTACACTGGGTATCCATACATTTCTTAAAGAACATTTCATATACAAGTATGGCCTTTTGAACTTCTCAATACACTGAAGTACAGCTAACAATTTCTGTGATATCCTGCCCACAAAAAAATTTAAACTTTAGCAGTTGGCATGATGACTGCCCCTCAGCCTTGATTAATCTTACTGGAAGAACCTTACTGAAAAAATGAGTGTTTAAATTTAATTCACTGAAACAGCAGCTGATGTCTCTAATGTCACCTGGGAGTTTTAATCACATTCACCTCAGGTAGATCCCTATGCAGATACATACCGTAAGACACTACTTCACTGTGAACTTAGCCACCTGCAGAAGAGGCGGAACACAGTGCATGAGTCCTCTCCCAAAAGAATAGCTAAAAATAATTAATTTTCTTCAACATGAAACATCGCAAGCATGCACACATTTAAGACTTGCTGAGATCCTCTGCAGACAGAAGTGCATTCCAAAGGAAAAATGCACTTATTTTTATTTTTGAAAGCAGCGTAGTGGAAACACAATTTTAGGGCAGTGCTACAATTCCTTTTTCATGGACCTGCATACCATTGTCTCTTTTTACAATGAGACAGGGGCACAACTGCTGCTACCAATCTTGTTCCTTTACAATGAGAGAACTATAGGCCTTTGTTCACCAGAAACTGAGTGTCTGAGAACTTAAAACGGTTACATGACCTGCTAGATCAGACAACTTCACTAAGACCTTTTCTGTACGACCCCAATTGATATTTTGGTGGTATGGGAGGTAGACTCTTAGCCCTCTTAACTTAGGAAAGCCAGATAACCTGGGACAGTTGCCCTGGCTCTGCTCCCAAGTTGCCTCTCCCCTCCAAGAGGCCTCCTCCCGGGAACAGGACCTATTTCAATTGAAAACAGTCTCCAACATTGCAATTTCCAGTCTGTTGCTCCATGAGCCACGTACTCTGACCAGAGGGAGCAGTGAAGGCTGGAAGCAACGCTGATGCAGTGCAGTAACTCCAGGGAACATCTCTGTCCTCCGAGCCGGAGGATGACTTGAATGAGGAAATCCTGAAGAAGTCGTTAGATAATCTGTGCTGCAGACAGGGCCAGCACAGGATTTGGCCCACGCAAGGAGACTTAAGTCACACAATTTCTCTTACCAGTAGAATTTGTATGACTGAATTATACCACAGCATATTGAAAACGTACCTGAGAGAATCCTTTAAAGCCCACAACATCTCAGGGAAATTAAATAATGTATTGTTTTAAACCATTCACACTCAGTTCTCACACCTCAATTCAAATTTGGCTTAGCTCGCCATTACTTTAGTGGTAATGTCTCGTGTTTATGTAGTAAGCACGCTGTGCAAGCAGTAGCTCAGGACAGGAACAGTAAGGTTTTCTTGGGCCAGCAAGGAGGTTTCAGATCACAGCAGCAGAGAGGCAAGAACACAGTTGATTTGGCCTTTGTTTAGGCAGTGCCCTCAACCTGTGAAATCTGGATGAACAGGCATGCAGTCTTGTCACCTCTCTCCTCGTTTTTTTTGTTTGTTTGTTTATTTGTTTGTTTTTCAATTTAAATTACCATTAAAACCAAAATGAAAGTTATACCAAAACTGTACAGAAGTAACAAAAACCGACAAAGAAACAAATTGAAAAACCAAGTATGTTCTCAGTTTGGTTCATGATGATATCCTTTTATCTTGTGCCTTGCAACAAGGGGCATATATTTTATAGGCTATGATATGAACTTATTTTTAGTTTTCGTATATTTTGCAATTGGTAAAACAGCTTAGTTTACAGATATACTTCAGACATGATTACATTGATGTAGAGTGCCTAATGCATAGAGCCATTTATCTTTTTGTTTGCCTTCAACTACACAGCTGACAAACTGAAAAACACCCCTTACTTCTATGTCGTCAGATTCCAATGCACTTGAAAGTGTGTGCAAGAAATGAGGCTTAAAATGAATCATAAATTTAAACTGAAGAAGGACAGAGATCTTACTGCATTCCTGTGAAAAGGTTTCCTTATATGAAATGAAATACACTAACAGAGAAAAAACTGACATATTTTAAGATATTTAAAGAATACTTTCAGCTCAGTTCCACATTCCTGGTGAGTTCACAACACCCGATGACTTCAGCAAAAGTCTCAGCAGTGAAAGTAATGTGAGACAGCCCCCCCTCCCCCCGGCCTCTGTTGTGCAAATACTTACACATGTGCCAAACTTTAAGAATATAATCAGTCTAAGTAAAGTGGGATATTATGCATTTCCAAAATGATATGGAGATCTAGACCTTGCACTGTTTCTGCATAAAAATTATTTGGGAAAACTTGTTTCACAAGAACGTGAAAGAGAAAGATTTTTCTACTGGCTCAGTCCTACTGGCCTTGACTCTCTCTCCTTGGATTAAAAATCTCAGCAACTTTTTTTCTTAATAAAGAAAAGGATATATGCTTCCTTTTAAATAATCAGAAACCTGAGGCTCTCAAGAGCTTTGCAAGAGTCTTGGGTTTTGGCCTATCTATACAGGTACTGTTATTTCTCCTTCTCTATTCATACTCTTACAATTCTGGCACCTGTATGACTTTATAGCCACAAGTGTAGGTCAAATGAAAGTCTAAAATTCTGGCAGCCCTCACCTGGCCTTAAAACTCCCCCTTAAAAATATGAGGTGGGTGGATATGCTTTACAGATTCCATTATTTCAGTATTTTTTTCCAGTGTATCCTTCTTCCAGGTGTGGCCTCAGAAAGATTTTTTTTTTCCTTATTTTTATCTCATAGTTGGCATTTTATAAGTTA